CATCTCTCATACTTTGGACATATTGTCAGGAGGGACCAGTCACTGGAGGATATCATGTTTGGTAAGGTGGAGGGTCAGAGAAAAAGAGGAAGACCCCCCAATGAGATGAGTTAGCAATATTGCGCATCAATGGGCTCAAACATGGGAACAATTGTGAGGTTGGCCCAGGACCAGGCAGTGTTTCGTTCTGTTTTGTATAGGGTCACTATGAGTTGGTCTTGACTTGATGACACCTAACAACAACGCCAATTATTCAGGACGTTAGTTCCCCTGCCCTCATTGTCTTCTCATCTTTGTTTTTCCAGCCATGGTTGTCCTTTTGGTCTCATAGAGATGGATTTTTAGTGGAGCCCCAGACTCATGGGTGAGCCATGGTTTGGTGTGTTAATCTGTTGTTTTGCTAAAAGGTGTCCGCGGGAAGTAGTTTTGGTTCAAGGTTTTTCGAGTGTCTCAGAGTCCTTGAGCCTCATCCGGTCCCATGAGCCTGAGCTTTGGAAAATCTAGGGCTCTTCTGCGGTCTTCTCCTCGTCTGTTAAGATCCATCTATGGTGGCCCTGATCAGAATGGTCATGGTCAGTGTAAGGTGCTGGGCACCATCTAATTCTTCTGGTCTTAGGGTAGATGGGGCAGTGGCCTGTGTGGACTCTCTGCCCTGTGAACTGGTTTCTTCTCGAGACTTGGCATGGGGACCCCTGCTTGGACTACAACCTGTGGGGAAGCAGCAGAGCAGGGGGTCTCTCCATCGTCCCACACCTTCCTCATGCTGTACCTTGACTTTAGTACCCAGAGGGAGAAGGTGAGAGTGACGCCTATTACTACGAGTACCCCTACTATGAAGACCCTGAAGACCTGGGCAAGGACCCCACTTCCACCAAGAAGCCTGTAGAAGTTGCTCGAGAGACCACAGAGATTCCTGAGGTGAGAGCGGCTGGCAGGGTGGACTCCTGTCCTGTGAGGTCGTGAGTGCATGGCAAAATGGGGTGGAGGGGTGTCCCGAGGACGTGGGTGCAGGGTGGGTATGTGTGGTCAGGTGGTGGATGGAGCTCTGCCAGGGCGGACAGGTCGTTAAGTGACTGTGGACTCCCCTTGGGGGTTGGGCAGAGGTGTCGGTGTGGCGGGTGCTGTGAAGGCGGGTGCTCACTGTGGGTTGTCCCTCAGCTGAGCAGAGGGCTCAGTGGTGGCCCTGGTGGGCGAGTTGCAGCCCTAGAACCTGTCCCTGGGGTCAGAGCTCTGTGTACTGCCAGTGGGGCAGTGATGGGGTGTGGAAAACACTAATGCATGGGCCCTGCCGCTGTTTCGATGCAGAATTGTTACATCCTCCAAACCTGCCCATCTGTGAGAACTTTAAAAAATGCTAGGGACATCTGTGTGTGCCTGTGGGCTTGAGTATGTGTGTGTGTAAATGTGTGACTGTATGTGAGTCTGTGATTCTGTGTGCATGCATGACTGTGACTATGTGTGAGAGTATATATCATGTGAGTATATATTACTGTATGCTAGTGTATATGTTTGTGTGTGACTATGCATGTGAGTGTGTGTGAGTGTTATTGTATGTGAGTGTGTGAGGGTCAGGTGTGGGTGTGAGGTGTTAGAATGTGAGTCTGTGCATGTGTGAATGCTCATATAGGTGTACATGTGAGCATGTGTGCATGGTGGATGAGTGGCTGAGTTTGTGTGGATGTGTGAGTGTGCAGGGGTCTGAGCATGTGTGTATGGGCGCACACACATGTGTGTTCATGTGTGTCTGATAGCACACGTGTGGAACTGAGAGTGCGTGTGTGTGTGTCTGGAAGTGCATGTGTGTGGAACTGTGAGTATGCATGAGTGTGTCTGGTAGTGTACATGTGTGTGGAAATGTGAGTGTGCATGCATCTGTGGTAGTGTACGTGTGAAGGGTGTGAGTGTGCATGCATCTGTGGTAGTATACATGTGATGGAGTATGAGTGTGCATGTGTGTGTTAGTGCATGTGTGTGGAAGTGTGAATGTACATGTGTGTCTGATAATGCATGTGTGTGAAAATGTGAGTGTGCATGCTTCTGTCTGATCATGTACGTGTGAGGAAGTATGAGTATGCATGCATCTTTCTAATAGTGCACATGTACAGAGGTGTGCATGTGTGAGGACAGTGGTGTGTCTGCATATGAGTGTGTTTGCACCCTTCCAGGGAAAGGCAACCTGGCCCCATATTGCTCTGAGTTTGGGAGGGGGCTCTACCATTTCTTTTCTCACCTGCTGCAGACTCCGGCTGCAGAAGTGTGACCTTTGGGGGTCCACACCCCTCCAGGGCTCTCAGTGGGAGGCAGCTAGTGAGCAGAATTGCTTGTCTCCCACCTGCTCCCTCCACCTCTCCAGTATCTGAGGAAGCCCTGCACCCTGGAATCCTGTCTCTCCATGGGCAGTGGATGTTTGAGGTGGTTCTGTGCCCCACAATCCATAGGCTCTTCCTCTGTGGTATTTCTGGTGGACAGAGGCAGCCCCGTGCCCTGGAATCCCTTTGTTGTAGGTCGATGCTTGGCCATTCAAGGCTACTTGCTCTCACACCCCAGAGATCCCTGAAGGTGTGTACCTGGGATCTCTTGACCCTGGGCCCCACTGTCCCTGGTAACTCTCTCTGTCTCTGTGACCACCAGGAGCTGACCCCACCACCCACGGCAGCCCCTCCTGTGCCTGAAATCAGTGAGGGAACAGGGAAGGAGGATGACCCTGGCATAGATGACTATGACTATGTGCCAAGTGAATACTACTACACACCATCCCCCTACGAGGACATTAACTACGGCGATGGCTTGGAGAACCCCGACCAGCCCACAGACACGGGGCTGGAGGCCGAAATTCCCACCAGCACAACAGTCACCGGCAACACATCCAACGTAATTTCTGTCCCTCCCAGCTGAGTGGTTCCGAGGCAGTGTCAGGAGACCTGAGCCCTCTCCTTCCTCTTCTGTCCCTTGGGTGACTCCCATGTCCTCAGACCCTTTGCAGTGGGTTGAGATGTGCCCCCCACCCCCAAGAGATTCACTGGCTTTCTGAGTTTATCTCAGGGGGTCAGTTTTTTGATCTGTAATATGGTCTCCCCTCGGGTTGAGGTGGACATTGGGATGAGGTGTTTGAAGACATGGTCTCTGCCTGGCAGAGCCTGTGGTCTGTGTGCACTCAGGCTAGATGGATCCCTGAGCTGGGGTGTAGAACACATTCAAATAAACTTAGAAACTGAGCAAAGCTGGGGCAGACAGTGGGCTTCCAGCAGGTGGGGCCCTGAGAGAACTTGGACAGAGGCGGCAGCTCTCTGAACCCCGTCTCTTCAGTGGTGAATGGTGGTGACGGTACCCTCCTGGTGTGAGGGTGTTTTCAGATCAGAAGAGACATTTGCTCATAGCACAAAGCAAGAGCTGGAAATGACCCCAGTGTGTGCTCCTGGAGCTTCACACTGGGTCCAGTGTGGATTGGGATACAAAATCCCAGGAACCAACAGGAGCCCCTGCTGCAGACCCCTGATGCCAGGCTGGCTGCCTTCCCCAGGGGTGGGCCGAGGCCTGGTTCCACCCTCACTTGTCTCAGGGCCTCAAGCAGGTTACGGGGCCATTTGGGAGATTGTGTGTTGAGAGGCAGCAAGGGGCCCCAACCTCCTACTCTCCAGGCCCATGAAGGCCTAGGGCTGTCTTCCCCGAGCCCTTGGGGGGAGGAACATTTCTGTGCCCCTGGTGCTGAGCACAGTGGTACATCCCATGTGACCTTCCTCCTCTTCCTCATGGTCTCTTCAGCCAGCTTTGTCCCCAGAGGACAATGATGGGGACTTCACAGAGGAAACCATCAAGAATCTGGATGAAAACTACTACGACCCGTACTTCGACCCCACCATGTCCCCATCAGAGATCGGGCCAGGGATGCCGGCCAACCAGGACACCATCTATGAAGGGGTGAGCGGAGGAAGGATGGTGGGAAGAGCGGCTCGGCTGGGGTCTGCTCACATGAGGTCAGCTCTCTTAGGGTGCAATGGTGGAGGCCAGAGCAGGCTCTGTCATGAAATCCAAGCTTTAATCAGGGCTTTTGAACCAATTTATTCTGGTTTGAGCCCCTACTGTTTATAGTTTGCATTTATACCCCAACCAAAGACCTGCTCATAGAGACTCCATAGTAAAGACAGAACTCCCTAGTTTCCAGGGCTGTAAATCGTTATAGAAGCCCCCGCCTCATCTTTTTCCCTCAGAGTGACTACTGGGCTCAAGCTGCCAAGGTTTTGGTTAGCAACTGAGCACTTAACCCCAGAACCACAAGATACACAGGGTCTTCTTACTATATGTATCTAAGAATCACCTTGAGCCCTGGTGGCAATGGGGTTAAGTGCTGTGCTGTTAATAGCAAGGTCAGTGGTTCAAACCCACCTGCCACCCTAAGGGAGAACGATGAGGCTGGTCAGCTCCCATAAAGGTGGACAGTTATGGAAATCCTAGGGAGTAGTTCTACTCAGTCCTCTAGAGTCACTGTGTCCAAATCCCCTCAATGGCTGTGGGAGGGTCTTGTTTAAAATGTGGATTTGGATTCAGTTTAGCTTGGATTGAAATGCAAATTCTCAGCAGGGAATTGAACCAGATGAACTGGTTCAAAACCTTGATTTTAAGAGGGAAGGAGTCCTGGGATGTCCTGGTGGGGCTCTGTGGGTTAGTGCTCCGGACTGCAAAGTCAGTTTGAACTGCAAGGTCAGCAATTCAAGCTTACCAGCCGCTCCTCAGAAACCCTACACAGGGTGGCTATGAGTCGGAATGCACCTGACAGCCCTTAACACCACACCAGTGGGCGTCCTGATGTGGCACTGTAGAATAAGTACTGGGCCACAAGGTTGGTAGTTCAAACTCAACCAGCCGCTCCTCAGAAACCTGCTACAGACTCGCTTTGAGTTTGGAATCGACTCCACAACACTAACGACATGATTGGGTTCAGACTAATAGGTGCGGTGTGCCTCCCTCGCTATCTTCGACTCCCACGTGGTCTTCTGGTAAGGGTTCGCTTAGTGATTTATGAGAAACAGGATGAGCTTCTCTCTGCTGGTGGCCCCCTTGGTTTTCAGAGTTGTGTGGACTCCGTGTGAGATGGATTCTTTTTTTTTTTTGCCTCTCTTTCTCTCTCCATCTACCATGACCATTCCCAGATCGGAGGACCCCGAGGCGAGAAGGGCCAAAAAGGAGAGCCTGCAATCATCGAACCTGTAAGGATGCTTCTTCTCTTCTCTCTGGACCGGGGGTAGACGGGGTTCGGTTTGGCTGCTCGGTTATGTGGGGTGTGACCCAGTCTGCTGGGCCATCGTGCCATGCAGGCTAACTGCACAGGCTCCACCCACCAGGTGTTCCCTGGACATTCTAGAAGATTCTGATTGCAGGGATGGGTCTGTGGGACACACATGGATGAAAGCCCATGTCCTTCACTTCCTGTCTGGGCTTTGCACTCTGTGTCACCAAGAAGCCAAAGCACTGAATCTTTTCAATGGAGGGCAGGGTCCCTTTGGAGGAGGGCCCATGCGGATTTGTTCCATAAATGATGGATTTAGTCTAACAGCTTGGAAAACACCAGTACTGTCCGTCAGCAATAGTCGGACACTAGTTAACCGTCGGCTGTACCTCTCCCGGCCTGTTATGCAATCGTTTGGAGTAAGTTTGATGCAACTGTTGAAACATAGAAAACCATTTCTGAAACCAGGTCCAGGGGATCAGCTCCCACAGCCCTGCCCTGCCACTACAGCTAAGCACGGAATAACTGTGTTAGGTAATGGACCCAACTATGACACAGAACTAGACTGTTGGCAATGCATGGAAGTGAGAGACCATAATGGAGAGAACTCAGGGTCCCTCTATGTGTCGGTGAAGTTGGTGTGATCCGGGGTGGTTCTCTGCCCCCGATGAGCCCATGCTGGCTTGGTTGGGAGCCAGGACTCCACGCTGTGGCCTCGGCAGCTATGGCGAGTGGACATGGTGCCACAAGGGTCAGCTGTTCTGGACGTGGCCTGCACTGGGAAGGCCTGGGGGTGTGGGCTGGGAGGCAGCTCTGAACCACCTGGAGGGTGTGATGAGCCCGCTCCCCACATCCTCTCAGCGCCACGGGGAGGGCGAGTCCTGCAGCCCTGACCAGTCAGGAGGCCAAGGCCAGGCAGAGCTCAGGATGCCCAGTGTCTCCGTTCTCCTGCGCTGCTGCAACAGAAATAGCTCAGGAGCAGGGGTGGGGGCACAGGCGGGGGCGGGGGGTGGACGTTTACAAACAGAAATTGCTTCTCTCAAAGCTGAGGAGGCAGGAGGTCTGAATTCAGAGATTTAGAGCGTCGGCTCTGGAGAAAGATCCTGTCTTGTTTCAGCATCAGTAGCCCAGCAGCCCTTGGAAACCCCCATGCATGTGTCTTGGCATCCGTCTTCCCCTGGATCTGAGAGCTTCACAGTGCAGGGACCCCAGGTCAAAGGACACACTCCCCTCTCAGCTCGTCTTTCTCTTTCTTTACTCATCTCTTAGAGGATACAGAGTGCTGCCCACCACACCCCTGGGAAACGGGGGTCATGACAGGATTAAGAGTACAAGAGTATTGCATGCCCCCCCCCCCCTTAATCCTTTTATTGGTTGGTCACATCAGACCACATCAGGGGAGACCATCCCAGAACTTACAAATGACATCACTACATTACGGCTATTCGTGGTCTGGCTAAGTTGGCCCATGTGTTGGGGCACACAACTCAACTTATGACACCATGTCAGGGGCTCCTGGAGACCCAAGGACCTGGTGCCCTTGGCACTGGGTGGTGGTGGGGGCCTGGATGGGAAAGTTCTGTGACCAGTGACACTTAGTAAGCCCTGTCTCCCCACAGTTCCCTGGTCAGACAGCAGGACATGTCCAAAACTGGGGTCCAGCAGGTGTCTCTGGGGATGGAGCTCCAGGGGGGCTGAGGTCCACTGATCCTTTCCCTGATCACAGAAGCATCTTACTGGATTCTGTGCCCCAGACGCAGGCTGGACTATCCATTCCCTGGACTGTTCAAGTCTGGCACAATCTCCTGCCTGGGGGCTGATCATGGAGCCTAACCACCCTGCATCGAACTGCCTTGGTCATTGTGGTCTTCTCCTCCTTCCGGGCCTGGGTCTGCACCATGACCCTGTCCCCTATGAAGGATGTGTGGCTTCCTAGTGCACTTGTTGATATACATTCTTCTCTCAGATTGGGAGCCTCCCCTCTTCCATGTTCTCTGGAGACCCAAGAATTAGAGGGTGCAGTTGACAGGGATTCCATTGTTGAGGGAGACCCCATGCCGGTACCCCTTACTCGTTGAGACCCAAGGAGAAGGAAGCCCCAGAGCGGAAGAGCAGAGTGATCTTGAGCAGAATCATCTCCAAGGAATGTTGCTGATGGGTCTGGTCCCACTCTGTGGGGGAGTATTTGACAGAGGGCCACTCCTCCAGAGTCCACTCATGTGGGTCTCCCTGGCTGGGACGCTGGGACATGGTTGAGTGTCTTGGGCCCAGATGGACCTGCTTTTCACTTAGGCTTTCCTCCTTGGTTCCCCCATTGCTTCTGTGTAAGGAGGGGTCTTAGGAAAGGGCAGGGACCCGTCAGCATGGTCCCCAGCTTTCTTCCCTCCACAGGGTGGGTCAGGCCGATACCTCTTTGTGTCTGAGCTCATGTTCCTCAGAGTAGCTGAGTAAGTGTAGACGTGGTATCCAGCTGAGTGTGCGGAAGAGGCCCGTGCTGTTCTACCTCGAGGCTCTGGCCCAGCGGGCAGTGGTGAGGGTGGATGAGAGGAGAGCCCTGGGAGCTCAGAGGCAGCCAATTAAAATATCACGTCTCCAGAAAATCTCCTTCTTCGTTGGGGAAAAATGAGTCATCTGGATGCCTTTAAGGGAGGGCCCCCGCTCCCCTGAGCTCCCCCACCCGGCTCTCCCTCCCTCCCAGCCCCCCGCCTATTCAGGATGTCCGAGGGGCCTTTGGCCAGTCCCTCTGGAGGGATCTTGTCAGCAGTTGGAAGTTCTCAACCTGCAGCATTGCCAACTGTCTTCCGTGTCCTAGCTCCCCACAGATGGTAGAGTCCTGAGACGAACTGTAAGAGTCCAGCTGACCACGTGGGGTGCAGTGTGGCAGAGGTAGAGGGCATATGCCCCCTTTTCCTCCCCATCACGTGCCCTCACCAGTCCCTCCCCCACCCAGGGAGCCGCCCACATGCTGGGCCTCAGGAAACTGGTTTCTTCTCACCATCCTCAGCAGGATGGCTGTTCCCCATTTCTGTCCTCCGCCAGCCACTTCAGAGCTTCTGTGAAAGGGCAGGAGTCTGTTCAGTTGAGGGGTTGATTTCATCAGGGTGAGCTTGTGGAATCCCCAAGGGCTGGGAGTCCCAAGTTCAATGACTGATGTCGTTGGCTGATGTCCATTGGACAACACATGAATCACCCCCATCTGCCGTCCCTTTTCTTTCTTTGTACGTGCTATTGAACGGATTAGTCAAGTTGAGGGTCAGCACAAATGAGGGAGCTGCTCCTTGAAATGGCCCTCAGAGTCGCCTCAACAGTGGACTCAAACACGCAGCGGGCATGAGGCTGTCCAAGGACCCGGCAACGCTTCGTTCCACTGCACGCAGGTCACCATGAACCCAAGCCAACACAAAAGCTAACTGGACGACAGCAAAGAATGAGACCGTCAGCTCAGTCAGTGCTGGCCACCTCTCAGAGAAGATGGAACTGGATAGGCAGCCTGGAGCTGGCTGTAGCTCGGCCAGTTCCTGGGCCATGTCTGCGTGGGAAAGCAGCCTTCATTCTCCGCTGGACTCGCTCGCTCACTCGCCCCACAATTCCTGCATCCTGTGCTGACCCGGGCTGATCTGGTCACCCACCCACAAGACCCCGTCCCAGCGTTCTTGAGAACAACAGTTTGTGTGTTTGGGAAAAAGACAGCTGCAGTTCCCTGGGCAGGCTGTCAGCAGCTTCTGCCTGGGTCAGAGGGGGATGGGCGCTGGGATTTGGGAAGTGTATACATCACAAGCACAAATATTACTGTGTGCACATCTGTGTAAACACAGCCCATGGAGCCTGGGTCGCCCTGGTGGTGGGGCAGGCCAGTCAGCTGGAGGGGTTATATGTCCCCCACGTGGGCCCTGGGGCCCTGGTGGCCCTTTTACTTTGAAGCAGTTAGGATTTTCCCAGGGGACACTTGGCTTCCCTTGAAAACCCTCGGCACAGAGCCAGGGACATCTTGGAGAGCTAGCTGGGTGTCTAAGGCCAGCGCTTCCTTCCTCTCACCCATGCCAGTGGCCGCCAGTCAGCGGGGAGGAGGGCTTCACTGTGTCCTCCATTGTCTGAGCATGTGGTACCCACATAGTCTAGGCGTGGAATGGGGTCACCTAGCAAGGCTGGGCCTGGCATACAGGTTAGGGGACCTCTGGTTGCACTCCAATGGCTTTCTCGGTGTGCAGAGCTCTGTGGGGCCTATGCCCCTGAGAGGACCTTCAGCACTATCGAGAGGGAGTCCCGGCCATAGCTGGGGAGGGTAAGTGCAGGGGACCCTGTCCATGTCAGGAAGAAGGGAAGGAGGTGGTGCCCCATTGGGGTACAGAGGATGAGACCCAGGGAGGTTAGAGGCCGGGGAGACCTTGCCTGGTGAGGTCAGGGTCAGAGGGGCACTCCTGGACTGAGGGAGGGTGGCCAGGTGTCCATGCACACTTGTGATGTCCCCCCATCACTTCAGACTGTGTGTTGTGGGCATCACTGCCTGGAATGCTCCAGGCTGCTGGAAGTCCAGCAGAGTGTGACCTCGGTGCCTCTTGTTCCCTGTCCCTCCCTCACCCTGACCTGGCAGAGAGAACTAGATCCTCTCCTCTGGACATCCTGAGGGACCTTGTTGGCCATCTGACCAGGACTTGTCACTATGTCTGGAGATGCTAGGGTGATGGTCATCACTGCCCACAATCCCTTCCTTATGGAGACTACTTGGGGCAGACAGACAGACAGACATCTGGATAGTAGATTTTAGACAGATGATGATAGATAGATAGGCAGATAGGTAGATGGTAGATAGACAGCTAGGTAGAAGATAGAAGATCGTAGATAGTAGACAGATAGATGATAGATAATAGATAAATAGTAGATAGATAGATAGACGATAGCAGATAGAAAGATAGATAGATAGAAATAGACAGCTGGATAGTAGATTGAAGATCATAGGTAGACAGTAGATAGGCAGTATATAAATACATGGGTGGATGGATAGATAGTAAATACATAGGCTGATAGATAGATAGATAGGTTGGTAGTAGATAGAAAAACATAGACAGTAGGTAGGTAGTAGATGGATGGATAGATAATAGATAGATAGTAGATAGATAAGTAGATAGTCGATGATAGATAGTTAGCTTGGTAGTAGATAGACGATCATAGTAGACAGTAGATAGGTAGTAGATAAACGGATGGATGGATGGATGGATAGAGGGTAGGTAGATGATAGATAGATAGATAGACAACTAGAGTTGGTGGTTATGTGCTATGGAGTCAGTTCTGACTCATAGTGACCCCGTATAGGATTTCCAAGGCTGTCAATTTTTAAGGGAGCAGAAAGCCTGTGGGTTAGTAGCTCAGCTCATAGCCCACTACACTACCAGAGCTCCTTAGATCGATAGGTAGGTAGGTAGATAGACAGATAGTAGATAGATAGCCGATAGGTAAGTATGTAGGTAGGTAGATGGTAGGTAGGTAGGTAGATAGACAGATATAGTAGATAGCCGATAGGTAGATGGTAGATAGGTAGGTAGATAGACAGATAATAGATAGCCGATAGGTAGATGGTAGGTAGGTAGGTAGATAGACAGATAGTAGATAGCCGATAGGTAGATGGTAGGTTGTTGTTGTTGTTAAGTGCCGTCGAGTCGGTTCCGACCCATAGCGACCCTGTACAGGGTTTCCGAGGGTGTAAATAGGTAGGTAGAAAACAGATAGATCGTTAGCTAGCTGCTATGGCTTGACTCCAACGCATGGTAATCCTATGCACACAGAGAGGAACATCCCCACCCTGCACCTTCCTCACAGCTGTGGGTGCGTTGAGGTCATGCTGTGGCCACTACCTGTTGGGTGTCTTCTAACATAGGACGTTCACCCTTCAGCACTTACTTTACCCCTCAGTAGTCTGCCGTGAGCCAGAGGCTTGTCATTGGCTAATTTCCAGAAGTAGGTCATCAGATCCTTCTCCCTAGTCTGACGTAGGCTGGAAGTTCTGCTGAAAGCTGTCCACTGTGGGCGATTGTGATGCTGGTTCCCTGCATCACAGCCCACATCACAAGGCACCACAGTATGACACAGAGACAGACAGGGGGTGAGGGATGCAGAGACAGATGGGGTGAGAGATGGAGAGACAGACAGGGGGTGAGAGATGCAGAGACAGATGGGGTGAGAGATGGAGAGACAGATACAGAGTGAGAGATGGCAAGACAGAAGGGGGTGAGAGACAAAGAGACAGACAGGGGGTAAGAGACACAAAGACAGGTGAGAGACGCAGAGACAGACGGAGTGACCGAGGGCAGCAGATACTCCCTAGTCTGCAGTCCTTGGCGTCTGACCCCAGAGGTTTCCCTCCAGGGGGTGTGGGGAGGGTCCTGAGCTACAGGTATCTGCTTGGCCGGGTTCTCATGGGCTCTTCTTCCTTTCCAGGGCATGCTTATAGAAGGACCGCCAGGCCCCGAAGGTCCCGCGGTGAGTATCCACTGTTGTCTCCAGACAGTGTGGAAGGTTCCATTCCTCATTTGAGGGACTGGGAGGCCATCCCCTTTAGCAGGAACCCTGTGTCCAGGAGGGAGGTGGGCATCACCTCAGGGTGGCCTCGCTTCACTGTGTCCTGATTGCATTTTTAATTCTAGGGTCTCCCAGGACCCCCAGGAACAACAGGTCCCACTGGCCAAGTGGGTGACCCTGGAGAGAGGGTAAGACCACAGCTCTGAGAGTACACACTCTGGGGCTCATCTGTGTGTCCGCCTGCTCGGTGATGCTCGCTGTTCTCAGATGTGGCCATGGTCGTGGGCACGCTGGCCCTCTCAAATCTCCCCTTGCCCCACTTGCCCCTAATCCCGCTCCACCTGTTTGGTCCTGGAGGTTAGTGTCAGATGGAAAAGGTTCATCCTCACAGGACCATGACTCCACAGAGGTGCCTGGGGTTGGCACATGCAGCAGCTCTGCTTTGGCATGACAAATGTCCCCACCAGCAGTAATCATAACCCCAGAGCCTCAGGTGTGTCCTCCTTTCATAGAACCTGCCACTTTCCTCCTTGGGTTTGTGAGCTCCCTCAGCTCTGGTTCTCCATCTCTCACATGCCCCTCCTTATTGAAAATCAGGGTAGCTGTGGGAATCCTGGAAGCTGGTCAGAAGGAGTGCTCAACCTTAAACCAAGGCTGAGCTCCAAGGCCATGACCGTGCACTGACATCTAGTGGCCAGTCTGCGTTCTGCAGCCTCAACGATGCTGTCGGGCTGGGCTTAGCTTGTTTATCTTTTCTTCCTCTTATTTTCCTTCCAGTCAGTGGCACAGGCATGACTACAGCTGGGTTAAATGTTAATACTGTAAGAAATAGTGTGTCCATGTCTCTTAGTGGTCCTGTATCCTGGGATTGGGTACCCCTGCTTCCCACATGGAGCAGGGCACTAACAGGGATTTGGGTGGGTGGGCGGACAGTCTGGTCACATGGAAGTGTATTCCTGTCACAGTGTCAATGGCTAGTTTCTGGGGGATGGGAAAGACCATGGGACAAACAAGGGTAGGAGGAGAGCAGGGCTTCTAGCAGAGACGAATGCTCAGGAGGAGATGGGCACTGGGTTGACCCTTCAGAGAGAACAGGAGCTGGTGAATGGGGGCAGTGGGCTGTCTCTGTCTGTGTGGCACTGAGGAGACCAGAGATGACAATCTTGTGGTACCTTTAGATGGTCTAATATCTATCCCAGGCAGATTAGATGGTCTCTGTCCCACGGCAAGGAGTGTGGCCCGAGGCAGGGGACCCTGGCTGATCTCTGCCCACCTACCTTGCTTGTGCCTCCCAGCTCGGCAGCCCACCATGCCCATCCAGGCATAGCCTGCATTCTCAGCTCATCCTAGGATTGGTTGGGCTGGAGATCCCTCTGTAGACCCTATGCTTTTTATGTGGACATGCCTTTCTCATGCTGGCCTGGTCATGGCTGCAGGTCTCACTGAGTCATTATCTTTGGTTTTCACATGTGATGAGACCCCTTGCCAGAGAGGCTTCCTGGGTGTCAGTCCTTGTGAGGGAGAAGCCATAGGAATCAGCCACTCTGGCCATGTCTCAGCCTCAGCAATGAGCCTGTTGCATGGAATCCTGAAGGCTCTCAGGATAGTGTCTAGCTTATGGTGGATGCTTGTGACCATCTGCTGGATGGATGAGCTGATGGATGGATGGATGGATGAATGGGTGGGGAGGTGGATGGATGGATAAATGAGGGGTGAATGGCTGAGTGGATGGGCGGATGTATGTGTGTGCGGATGAGTGGGTGAGTGGATAGACGGATGGGTGGGTAGATGTATGTATGTATTTATGTATGAGTGGGTGAGTGGATGTATGTATGGGTGGGTGGATGAAAGGATGGGTGGGTGGATGTGTGGATGTATGGATGGATGAGGGGTGAGTAGATGCATGAATGGGGGTATGTGTGTATGGAAGGATGCATGCATGGATGGGTGATGGATGGGTGGGTGGACGTATGTATGTGTGGGTGCATGTATGGGTGTATGTATGTATGTGTGGGTGGGTGGAAGGATGGATGGGTGGATGTGTATGTATGTGTATGTAGATGGATAGATGAGGGGTGAGTGCGTGAATGGGTAACTGGATGGTGGAATGGGTGTGTGAGTACATGGTGAGTTGATGGATGTTGTAGTTGTGTCCTGTGACTACTGCAGTACATTTACCACAAACTGGGGGTCTTAAAAACAACAGGGATTTGTTCTCTGTGGGGACTGAAGTTCTGCATCAAGGTGTCAGCAGGACTACTCTCCACCTGAAAGCTCTTTCTTTGTCTTCCACCTCCTGTTGGCTCTTGATGTTCCTGAGACATGGCTGCATCATTATCACTCCATTCTCTGCCTCCATGGTCACCTCTCCTCTCCATGAGGATCTCTTCTGTGTGCCTCTTCCAGGGATATAGGCCATAGGGTTTAGGGCCCACCTGTGTAATTTAGGACACAGTGGCAGGTTGTAGGGATTAGGATATGAGGTATCTTTTGGGGACCACTGTTCAACCCACTGCCGATGCTACTCATGTGCCTCCTGAAAAGCCAGCTGTTGCTGCGATGTCCACCATAGCAGGAAGTTCTCTAGAAGACGATGACTTGTCCTCCCTGGGGGTGATGGGGACAGGGTCCTTCCTGTGACTCTAGTTGTCCCCTCCATGGGATGTCATGGGGGCCTCCTACGTCCTCCTATGTCTTCTTGTTACTCTGTTTAAACTCCCTGAAAGCCAGAAGGATCCTCCTTACACATAAGGGAGCAAGTCTGGGATTCATTCTTGTGAGAAGGGACAGAGGACGACAATAGAAACAAGGCCAAGACAGGTGGTGAAAATGCCCTCAAGTTCTGTCCATCTGTGGCCACATATGTAGAGGACCTCAGCAGAGTGTGGGCTTTCCCAGAGCGCTCTAGGTGGCCTGGAGTCCTGGTGTGGTGCTGAAGGGTAAACACAGAGCTGCAAGGTCCGCAGTTCACTCTGACCAGTCTCTCCTGGGAAACCTTTGACTTAGTCGCTGTGAGTCAGAATTGACTTGAAGGCACTAAACAATAACAACCACAGGGTGGTCTGAGTTTAGAGGGGCCAAGCAGAGCCTCTGACTCCAGTTTTCAGATCCAGGGCAGGAACTGACCACCAGAACTTTCATTGGGCCATTCCCAAGCCATATATATACACACAGGAGCTCAGCTTACAAGGAACACTTTTGTGCACTTTGAGGATCTGAGAGACCAACGCTACATTCCTCTCTGTTTTCTGGGTCTTTCTTTGAGAAGAAGCATATCTTACAGACTCCTCGGGCCTTTGGAGCTCCCTTCCCCAACCATGATTAGGGGAAACAACACCCAGTCTCTGTTCGCTGCTTTGACCAAGCCCCAAACCTGGGGGCTCCCCGTGTGCAATCCGAGAATCCTGCCTTTTCACTTTGGGGTACAAGAAGCACCCCTTCCTTCCTCGAGACGCTCCTGTTAAACACCGACGATTTCTGAACTTGGACGTTGAGGCTCTTAGGGCTTACCTGGCACAGGGTTAATATCAGGAAGTCTTTCATGCCAGCTCTTTAAACGTTTTCGGCTTGATCAAGTTCTGTCATGCTTTGGGGGCCAGACGATCAAGTGATTGAGAAGAGCTTGTGCTCTTCTAGGAGCCTTGGCCTGGCGCAGGGCTGTAGTCCATCTCCATAGCTCGAGTGGTTTAGTGGAAGACCCCTGGAGCACCGACCACATCATAGGCCGTGCTCCGTGTCATGGAAGTGGCTGGCAGGTTCCAGATTTCTCCTCACCTTCAGGGGACAGAGTCTTGGTGCTGAAGAACCATGGAGCATGGGATGCAGTAAATGCAGGTTCAGACTGCTGGCCATGGAGACTCGTGGACTAACTTACGCTGTGTTCCTGTGGGCAAGAGCCACCTCGTGTTCCAGTTCTGTTGTGAACATTGGCCCTGGGCTGAGTAAGAGGGTCCAGGGCACAGGGTGGTACATTAATTCCTTTCTCTTTCAGAGTGATGTCTGTCTTGCTCACTACTTCACCTTCTCTGTCATCTTTGGGGTCGTAGGGAGAGTTTCCAGTGCAAGAGGAGAGTTGCTTTCATAGCCCCTGGCACTGCTGTGGGACCAGGATGACTTTGAGATAGCAGAGGAAGAGCTTGAGAGGAGGGTCTTTGTAGATCTGTACCCCACAGTGCACTGCTTCCAGCAGCATGCCATGTTGGTGGAGCATGCGTGCACACTGTGTGAACAGGAGTTAGCACGTATACACACACATGTACACACACTGTATGAACTCTAGTGTGCATGTATAAACACACACACTGTGAGAGGGTACATGTATACACACATGTACACACACTGTGTGAACAGGAGTGTGCATGTGTACACACAAATACGAGTGTGTTCTGACTCACAGTGACCCTGAGTAAAGTTTCCAAGGCTATAAATCTTTATAGGAGCAGAAAGCTTCATCTTTCTCCCACAGAACAGCTCGTAGTTTTGAACCGCTAACGTTGAGGTTAGCCGCCTGACTGGTAACCAGTACGCTACCAGAGCTCTTTAATAAAAAAGTGGAGCGTAGTAAATAAATGATGAGCCCACCAAACATGGGGCTGCAGCCATCCTCTATTGAGAGAGAGCTATGCAGAGAGGTCTGTGGTTTTCCGTGAGAGAAAAAAACAGAATGCTTTCTTGACTCCTTTAGAAAGAGAGCGGACAACTTTGGGCACCACACAGCCCTGTGGAACCCTGGTCATAAATATGTGCTGGCTCGATTCACTTCCGGCTCCAGTGACTTCTGGGGTGAGGATGGGGCCTTTCCACTTCCTCCTTATTGGCCTTACAGGCGACTTGATGAGATTCCTGTGTAATTGAAAAATGAGGTGAGGGTGGTGGGGGTGGGGGTATATCTGTCCTCTGGACCTACCTGTGGGCAAGGGGAGTGGAGAGGCAGTCACTATACCTTGATGCAGCAGATGAGACAGGGCTCTGGCATGTGGTGAGGTAGGAGGCCCCGAAGGGGCGGATGACAGGCGGGGTCTAGTTCAATCCAGATGGTTCTGTACCTTGCTGGACCGGTTCAGGAGAGCCCCCCAGCTCTCATCTTCTTGGCCTGGAACTGACAATCAATCTTGCATGCCCACCCTAACATCCTGCAAAAGGCTAGGACCCGAACCCCACAGTTGCTCTGGGTGGCCTAGGGGAGCTTCACTGGCTGGACGGAACCCAAATGTCCATCTGTACGCCAGACAAACCCAGTCTACTTCCAGATAGCTGGACATCTGCTGGGATTAGTCAAAGCTGGATCCCACATGCTTTGAAAGTCTTATCAGTTGTTTATCCATGTAGTGCTGAGCTGAAAAGGCTCATCTGGGATGGGGCCCCGGGCATGTTGGGGTGTTCTGCCTCAGTGGTGGAGCACTCGGATTTGTGGCGAGCACAGCTGTCATTTGTATAGTAACAGACTCCGGGGATTACCTGAGGTGAGCTTGGGTTCCCGTGGACTGCTCTCCTGAACTGGGTTCTGTGAGTGTGTTGAAGTAAATGTTGATTGTCCATTTGTGCTTCAGCACCTTAAAGTTCAGCAAGGCTGGACAGTGCTATGCTGCTTCCCTGAGCAGGCCCGAGTGCTGGAACTCTCAGCTGAGAGCTCTTGATGCCTTGGGCTGCACCTGTCTGTTCTGTGTAGACTCTGGCTGGACAGGGCAAGGACACCCCATCCCTGCCACTTCTGGCACAGCTCAGTTCACCCCCAGATGAATTAGTATCTCACCAGCCCCATCAGACTCTCACCGCTGCTTCCTCCCCTGCCCCCTTGCCCACAGTGATGCTCCTACCTTACCCTCTTGGGCTTTTCTGGAACATTCTCTGCCACAGGTCAGCGTTGTTCTGTGCTTGTGCTGTGTGTGAGTCTAATGGCCAGGCAGCCATGATTTGTGATTCCTTTTCCTACAGCATAGCTCCCACCCTGCACACTGACTTAATTGTGTCTCCTCCTTTATCACAGGGGCCCCCCGGACGCCCAGGACTCCCTGGAGCTGATGGCCTGCCTGGTCCCCCCGGGACCATGCTCATGTTGCCAGTGAGTATCCTTATTTGGAGGGGGGTGGGGGGAGAAGACCGCTTAGGTGGGAGAGGCCCGGACTCTGCTTCTATGTTGAGCAATTACTTCAGTCTCAGACCTGCCCCCATGGGGCTGGGGTCCTGGAGAATCCTCTGGGTTCAGGGTGGCCGTCCTCACTACAGGGGGTGAGGTGAGGGGCTGGGGAGTCCTTTCTCCTTTGAATCTACCTGTGATAGTGACTACTATGCCACGAAGTGGCATGTGGTGGTGGTGATGGGCTCTAAGGAGCGGACCAGCTCAGCCTTGGTGACCCCACGCCTTATACACACAGTTCCGGTTTGGAGGAGGTGGGGACGCAGGCTCCAAAGGCCCCATGGTCTCAGCTCAGGAGTCCCAGGCTCAGGCCATCCTGCAACAAGCCCGGGTGAGTGTGGGGCCTGTGGGGTGGGGGGCAGAATTGGGGGGGCACAGCATGGAAGGGGAGCATCAGACCCTTTGGCGGGGGCAAGCTTGGGTGAGTGTGAGGCCTACGGGGTGGGTACAGAGCTTGGGGGGAGCCAGGCCTGGGTGAGTGTGTGGACCCTGCAGGTTGGGGGCAAAACTGGGAGGGGCAGAGCAGAGAGGGGAGCATCAGACCCTGGGGGAGGGTACAGAGCTTGTGGGTGTCCCTCTGGCCCCAGGCAGCAGACAGGCTGTATGGCTGTCCTATCCGGCAGTGAGAATGGGGAAGTCTGGGAGGCTTCTCGGGGGGCTTCATGCATGCTGACCACCCAGGTTCCCAGATGAGGAAGAGATATCTACAATCTTGCAGGGGGTGTGCTCCTAGGCCGCTCTACCCTGCTGACCTCCTCCCATGCCTGGCTCTGTCCTGGGCCCAGGCAGTGGAGGGAGAGACCCCCAGGCTGTGGGAAGGGGCTCCCTGGGAGGAAGGAACCCTGTGCACACAGCCCTCCCCACCCTTCCTTGACCCACGAGCAGAACCCTCAACACAGAGTTTGCCTCCTTGCCAATTAATCCGAATGTGATTCCGGATTGCTGGTTGCCAAGGATGAGAGTAGAGGCTGCCCTGTGGGGTGGGGATGAGGTGGGGGTCCTCCCAGGGAGCACACCCTTGGGGGGGGGCATCGTAGGATGACATTGGTTTTGCACAGTACATATGTACACAGTACACAGTACATATGTACACAGTACATATGTACCACAGCCGAGTCTCTGTTAAATATGGAGCCCTCTGTAATTACAGGCCAGTGTGGTATCGAGTTGTTGCCATGGGACAAATTGCCCGAAAATCTCGTTACCTGCCAGGGCTATTGACTTAGGGCTGCCTGACTGCCTTGACTCTGTGCCAAGTGGGGATGTGCGGATGTGCTTAGAAGAATGTTTGAGAAAACAAACACCTTCCGAATTAAATGGTGATGACAGGAGGGCAGATCTTTCAGGAGGTGGCTGAGAAGTCTTACTCCCAGGGCTCACAGAGGGGAACAGAGCCAGAACACAGGCTCCTGGCAATGAGTATGCAGACAGGAGATGTCTGGACCAGGCCCTGGGTGGCTGTGGTGGCCCCTGGGTCTGGACGCCCCTGGAATGCTCCTGCTTTGGCTAGAATCTCCCCAGTTGTAGGGACCTCCTGGGAGTGAAAATGCCAGTCATTCACACAGAGCAAGCTGCTGGAGTATGAGAAGGGGCATTCCACATCCATCAGGGGGAGCTGGGAGAGGAGGGAGGACAGGATGGAGGCTCCGGACATCCCAAGTGGACAGTTGTTGTTAAGTTCCATTGAGTCAGCTCTGATTCATAGCGACCTTGTGTAGGATTTCTGAGGAACGACTGGTGGGTTTGAACCATCAACTTTGCAGTTGGCAGTCCAGTGCTTATCCTACAGCTCTACATCAGGACTCCCAAGTGGACAGAGGGTCTCCTAGAGGAAGACCTCTGCCTTTTTGGCTCAGGAGTTGAGAGCAGCAGATCCTCTTCTGGACTTCCCAATCCCCTGGCCAGGCTACTTTGAGCTCATGGCATGCTCTTTTGCTCTTGCAGTTGGCACTGAGGGGACCAGCCGGCCCGATGGGACTTACTGGCAGACCAGGCCCCATGGTGAGTTGTTGGAGTCTCTGGGACTTGGCACCTAGTCCGGGTTGTTCCCATCCTGGTTGGGGTGGGGGTGCTAGGAGTATGTTTAGTGGAGCTGACGTCAGGGAGGGCGAGGAACAGGGCCTGGAGGGGGTGTCTGCTAAGCCTGGAGAGGACTCCATGTAAGTTATTCCCAGGAAGGAGACACGTCCGAGGGGCAGGAGGGGCTAAGGGCATGCCAGGGAGATTCTGGTCCCCAAGTGGCAGCACTAGCTCTTTCCTTCTGGGTCCCCCATCGCTATCTGCACTCTTGTGTCCAAAGGGAAGAGCTTTTACGTGGGAGAAACCCTGGATTCCTCTCCTCAGACTTAGAGCAGCATGCCTGCTCTGCTCCCAGCCCAGCCCTGACCTTGATTTTACTTTTCCCTGGGCTCCATGCTCAGGGACACACAAGGGCTGACAGATGTGGCCTCTAGGGCTTTAAAGGAACATGAGGGGCCTTACAAGGAGATGAAGCGTTTAAAAGCTCAAGGGTCCTCTGGCCAGCCTCTCTCCAGTTTATGGGGGGGTCCCCATCAGTCCCTTAGGTACCCCACTCTAAGACACTTCACTTGAGCCAGAACCTTCTCCTCATGTCCCCATTTAGCTGGGCAGCAGGTTGGCTCAGAACATAATGAATGTCCCCCTTGAGCACTTAAAAAAAAAAAAGAAGAAAGAAAGATCTCTAAGCCATTAAAGGAGTCCTGGTGTGGCGCTGTGGGCTAATGTGTCAGACTGCAAAGCCATTTGAACTGCAAGTGGTTCAAGCTCACCAGCTGCTCCTTGGAAACCTGATACAAGGTTGCTATAGGTCGGGACCGACTTGACGGCACTTAACAAGACACTAAAATCCCAAACCCAGACCCATTGTTACTGAGTCCATTCTGACTCACAGTGACCCTGTCGGGCAAGTCAAATGGCCCCAGAGGGTCTCTGTGCCATCTTTAAGGACGCAGACTGTCTCAGCTTCATCCCTCGGAGCAGCTGGTGGGTTCAAACTACTGACCCTTTGGTTAGCAGCTCAGCGCTAAGTCCACTGCAACATCAGGACTCTTTGTCATTGTTAAGTGCTGTCGAGTCGCTTCTGACCCACAGCAACCCTGTAGAGGGTTTCCGAGGAGTTACTGGTGAGTTTGAACCATCAACCTTGCGGTCCAGTGCATTATCCCACAGTGCCACACCAGAACTGTTTATGGGATGTTAAATACTCTGCAATCGAGTGGGACTCGATTCACAGGACAGGAACAACTAGAAGGGAGTGTGTAGTGAAGAATGGGACCGATGCCACTGAAGAATCTGTAGGAATTGTTGAATGCAAACCTGCTCTCCTGTGCATGCATCCACTGGATGGACAGACAATCAACTGTTCTTGTAAAAACTCAGGAAGCAATCCAGACGGCTGCTTTTCCCACCTTTCCAATAAGTCCAGGTTGTTCACTCTGGCCTTTTTGAGGTGGAAAGGTCAGGTGTGGCCCCTGCAGATGCCTTCCTGCCCTGCAGGGCGGACCCTCTGTGGTTCCTGTGCCCCCTTCCTCTCAGCCCTCCATAGCTTTCTCTGATCTGTCTCACCCTGAGCATACATTCATCCAGAACGTGTCTTCGCAGGGTCCCCCTGGGAGCGGAGGCCTGAAGGGTGAGCCTGGAGATATGGGTCCACAGGTAGGTGGGCACGGTCCAGGGGTCTCTTGGGGGATGATCTCGGGACTGCCGGCTTGGTCATGCCTTGCACCGCCTTTCTTTGAGAGGCCTGGGGGGTGGCTACTGATTTGGGCAGAGCTGGAAACAGGACAGACCTATCTGGAATGGGGACCAGAGGTTTCTGGGCCCTGCCCAACAGGTGGGAGCCAGGGTGGGAGCTGTGACCATGTGGGCAAGCACAGGGCAGCCGTTGATGTTTCCTTGAAGCACACAGATACCCCCCTGACCCTTTGTCCTCTGATTCCTGGCAGGGTCCCCGAGGGGTGCAGGGCCCGCCAGGCCCCTCAGGAAAACCTGGAAGAAGGGTGAGTGTCTAGTGCTGGCAGCATTTGTGTGTGGAACTGGGGAAACCCAAAAGCCCTCTCACTGATGGAACCCCATCGGCAGAGGGCTTGTTCCAACCATGGCATGGCAGGAGCCTGCAGAGACTTCAGAAACCCCTGTGTCTCCTAAGAGGTGGTTCCCCTGCACCGCACCACCTGAACATGCTAGTTCAGTTTGATAAAATGATTATTACTGTTTTAATGAAAGAAATTTCGTGGGTTCTTTGGGATCAAGAATTGCAGGGCACAGTTATCAGTGGGAGGCCTGTTTCTTCTAGAAGCAAACCAGTTTCCATTCACAATGGCCTCACGTAGGTCAGAGTGGAGCTGTGATCCAAAGTTTCCAAGGGCTGGTTTGCTTTAGAAGCAGATCACCAGACTTTTATCTTGAGGTTCCTCTGGGTGGGATCGAGCCTCCACCCTGTTTGTGGGCAGCGGAGTGTGCTCAGCGTTTGCACCCCCTGTAACTCCATTTCTCCAGAAATAGCCCAGATTTGGGGAAATGGCTTGTGAGGCTTTCTCATATCTCCCGTCACTCCTGGTTCCTGGGGCTCTGGTTGGAAGGCAGGTCTAATGGGGAGCTGGTTTGTCACCATCAAACCTTGGCTACCGGAAGGGGGCGTGCCTTTGCAAGTTATTGACTAACCCAAGGACCAAGAATGTGGAGCATCAACACCACAAAGGTTTTAGCTTTCTGAGTATAAAAACCACAACCAAAACCCACTGCCCTGGAGTTGATCTGGACTCAGAACGACCATATAGGACAGACTAGACTCCTCCATAGGGATTCCGAGACTGAGCAGCACTTCAGGAGCAGTTTCATCTTTCTCTTTGGTGGGTTTGAACCGTGGACCTTGCAGTTTGCAAGCTTATCTCACAACACCACTTTTGTTAAGTGCCTTTAAGTCAGTTCTGACTCATAACGACCCTGCATAGGGTTTCTGGGGAGTGGCTGGTGAGATTTGAACTTCCAACCTTGTGGTTCAAACCAACTTTGCAGTCCAGCGCATTAACCCACAGCGCCGCACAGGGACTCCATAAGAGCAGTAGGGCTCCCTGTTCCCGAGGGCCTGTGGCTTGGTGCTAGGCCAGGGGTCTCTAGTCCTCAGAGAGCTGTGTGCACTGGCGAGCCCACACTTGGCCCATGGGGAATGGAGCCCAGCCCCAATCTCCTCATTAGCATATCAAGGTCTAGTCGGATCTGATGATGGCTGGCGTGGCCCCTGTCTCTAGGTGGTCACAGTAGAGTGATTGTGAGAGTGTGCCCTGGAAGACCCAGGTCTGTGGCTTTTCTGGGGCTGTTCATGGCTGGCAGTAATGGCTGAGGAACAAGCAGAAGAGCTGAGGTGGCCATGTTACAGAATGGACCTGCCTCTGGTCATCTGAGTGGTCACCCCTGGGCCTGGCTCCTTCCACAGGCAGGTGGACTGACTGAGCGCTTGCTGGTTTTTAACTCAACGTCCACAGACATGTGCAGAAACAGGCATGTCAGTGACCTAGTCTCTCCTGAGTGATGGAGGCATCTCCTCGCTGCTGTTCCTCCAGCCTGGTCGTATCTGCCCAGGAGTGACATCATCTCAGAAACTGGAGGCAGGCAGGAGGCCACATTCCATGGCAGTGTGAGATAGTGAGGGTCAGTGACACTGGGACCCTGTCCTCATTCCTACAGTGTGTGGTGTGAGCAGATTTCAGGGTTCCCACTGGTATGGGTCCTCTTCAGCGGTGACCTCTGGTACCCATGTCTTCAGGGTCACTCATTTGTAGATGAGGAGATCACCTTTAAGTAGCTGTGGTGGCCTGGCCACTCTTGTGAATGGACAATCCTCCTCCTCTGTTCCAGGGGCGAGCGGGAAGTGATGGAGCAAGAGGCATGCCTGGACAAACCGGCCCCAAGGTAGGGTGACCACTTCCTGCCTCTAGGTGTCTTGGACCATTGCCACCATCATCAAGATGGTGACATAGGCAACGTGCAGTTTATATGCTGGTTGTAACCACAGCCACGGATATGACTTGCAACACTTGTACCATCCCTTGGTAGAGTCTTGGGGTGAGGAGGGTTGTGCCCAGATGTGCCACTCTGTGTGATGAACATACAGACATGGGGGTTGATCAGGAGACTCTCGCGGTCTAGGGTGACAGCTGCAGTTGAGTTTTGGCAAGGTGGAGAGCCCATTCATGGGGATGCAGATGAGAAGGTCACATCCATGTGGAGGGGCTGACAAAGAGAAGCCATGCCTTCAGGTTGCCAGGCAACTCATGAGTGTAGTCCAGGGGGACAGGCAGCCTTCTTGTCCAGTTGTGGGATGTCTGGGTTCCTGGTGTTGGAGGGACAGACTAGACATTGTCTGGGGGAAGGCTGTACTTGGAGAATCGGTGACCTTGGAAACTCCAGTCTACCCCTGCTGCTGAGGTTCAGCCATCAATCACTCTGTCCCCAGTATCAGTGTGAAATTTTGGTCGACCTAGAAGGATTCGTTCAGACTATGTTGGGGGTGATAGAATATTGATGTTCTCTGATGAGGCGACTACCATGGGGGCAGTAGATAGGATTGGAAGGGAGAATGGAGACTGGTCACCACAGAAAGTGGGATTTCCATTGTGCCTGGTCATCTCACCACTGGGATGAGCTTGCAAGAACTTCACGGAACTGGAGCTAAAAAGCTCTTTGGATTTGTGTGACTTGGGCTGATTCACGGAAAAGGAGACCATCTTCTAGCATCTCTTTCCATTGGTTCATGATTTTCTTTCAACCACAGAAAGATCGAAAGCCTTGATCCTCCTCACCCCTTGCTCTACCTACCCTGGTTTTCAGTATTCATGGGTTAGGGTACTATTCCTGGGCAATAGAGTGGGGATGGCTGGAAGCCAGGATGCCAGTCCCGGTCCATTCTCTGCATGGAGCATCTACCAGGTGCCAGGCAGCTGTGGACACAGAAGACAGCAGACATGCTGAGAGGCTTAGCATCCCAAGGAGTGTGGTTCTGTGATGGAGGTCTCCTCTCTCTTTGTCAGTCTTTGCAGCTGTCTGGAGAGAAAAGCCTGGGTTTGCAGACCCACAACATCAGAATGCCCACAATGCATTCTGTGGTGTGGTGCATGTGTGTGGGCCTCTCTAAATACCTCTGTCCTTCTCATAGGGTGACCGTGGTTTTGATGGCTTAGCCGGATTGCCAGGGGAGAAGGGCTACCGGGTAAGTGTTGATTCACTCAGTCCAGGGGGATTCTGTGCTGCAGAGAAGTTTCCAGGGAGGCCTCTCAAAGAACCTTCAAATCCCTGTTGTGTGGTTGAATCCCATGGATTCCAGAGTATTCACTCCAATGCGTCTGGAGGGCATGGGGATGGAAGTGAATGCCGAGGTGATTCTTCTGTGAATGGAGAGTCACCCCCCAACCAGGTGTGTGATCTGCACTTTAGTGAGAAAAGTCTGTCAGCCCACTCACTGGAGGAGTGTAAAGGAGAGAGGGGCCGCCATATTGGATGCAAATAACTTGCACATTACACATTTCTTTCAACAATAGGCTAGGGTTCTAGGCGAACTGTGTGCCATATGTGTGTGCACAGGATTTGCATGGGCACATTAATCCTCCAAATGTGTAAGTCCATCTCTGTTCTGCTGACTCTGTACCCTCAAGTCTCAGGTGTTTCAAAGGGCCGCCATTTTGAAAACTGCCAAGGAAACTTTGTACCAGTAACTGAACATCACAGGAGGCTGGGGACAATTGAAGAGGGTTGGGGTACCTTTAGGAACTGATGCCAGCAGTGCACAGGACACTGTCTTCAGCACCAGACACTGCTGTAGGAGCTCAGGCCGTGGCTGGAAGAGCCCACCTCTCTACATGAGGCTTTATAGCTGGTTTTGAGTCTCAGGCTCAGTAGAAGGAGGTTCCTGGGGCCCTGTCTGAGTCATCCTCGGACACACATCTTCACCCTCTATGGGTGGGTTTGGGTGTTTTGAAACACTGGCCAAGAACATGGAGCCTCTTCAGGGTGGGTCTAGGCCACCGATTTGGGATCAGGATGGAGTTCTGGAAGTGCTTCCCACAATGAACTCTGTCAGCTCCAGAACACTCCTGCCAGGCAGTAACCCATGGTCTGCACATACTGTCATCTACACTGAAGCCAAAGGCAGCTCAGCAGATGTGTCTCCCTTGCCCATTGTCTTAGGAGATGAGGGACTTGTCTGTTGTGTTCTGCTATACAAGGAGGGCTTCAAAAATTTTGCAGAAAAATTGAGTGGAAAGATAATTCATTTCCATGAACTTTTTGAAGCCCCCTTGTATTGGAGGTTTACATGCATGTGTGTGTGTGTACATGGGAGTGCAAGTTCCCCCAGTGGTCTGCCTGACCTTGACCCTGACCCTAATTGACTAGCAAGTGCCCTACCTCCTGGAAACTTGTGTTCCTATGATGAGAGCCCCGACTCTCCAGAGCGTATGATCCCTAAAAGGACCTTATCCAATGCCAGAAAAGCTTTAGATGACTTACTATGTGAACCTTCTTCCTAGGGTGAGCCTGGTCCTTCTGGCCCCCCGGGACCTCCAGGAGAAGATGGAGATAGGGTATGTATCCCAGCTTACCTCTCGTTGTATCTGCCTGCCCTGCCCCTCTGTGGTCTGGGCAGGACCATTGTAGATGGGATCCAAACATTTGGCTGAGGCCACCTGCATGCTGAGTTGCAGGCTAGGGTGGGAGGAGGAGGTTCTAAGCTTACAGGCAGCCTAGTGGTGAGAGCGGGGTGCCCAGAACGTAGAGAGAAGATTAGACCCCAGCCCACTATTTACGCTTTCACTGCTGTGGACACGTGGATCTCCAGGGTGGCTCTCAGCTGGCACAGGTGCACCACAGGGGCATGAATGTCCTGTGAAGGTGTCCGATGGAGGTGTCCAGGGTGGGAGGCTGGTGGGGCACATGTGACCAGGAGGATGAGACAGAAGCTGTTGTCCGAAGTGGGGTCAGAGGCCGGCCTGAGTCAGGCTTCTAGATGGTGTGTACCTCCCGGAATTTGCAGCATTGTCAGGTACAAGCTGCTGCTTGAGACTAAAACTCAATTCCACCAGGGCATAGAATGCACTGGATTGTGGTGTTCTAAGCCCCTCGTCCCCTACTCCCAGTCCTCACATCACAACTTTGGAACCTTAGGGGGTATTTTAGGGAAGCGACAGTTGACAAGAATGAGGAGCAGGTGGGCGTCAGAAGACAGGTTCCCCCAGTGTTCTGCCTGACCTTGACCCTGACCCTGAGCCTCTCTCCCATGTGGGCCTCAGTACGCTGCCTCTGCCTGTTAGATGAGGACGCAGAGGGGCTTTGCTATATGTCCCCCTGAATTCTGTGCTACTCAGAGGAGGTGTGTGTATCTATGTGTATGTGTCCACACGTGTGTGTGCAAATCTGGGCATGCGTGCATGTATACTGCATGTCATGTACATGTGTGTAATGTGTGAATGTGCTTGCATGTTTATGGGCATGCTGTATGGGTGTGCATGTGCATTAGTGCATATACACATGTTTACACATGTACTGTGTGAGCCACATGTGTGTATGTGTATGTGTGAATATGTGTGTGTAAACACACACATCTGAGTGTGCACATGTGCTGTGTGTGTGTTTGTAGTGTAAATGTATATGTGTGCATACAGTGTACAAGTGCATGTGCATGCATATGTGACTGCATTGTATGTGCATATATGGATCTGTATATGTGGTTATATAGTATATATGCTTATGAGTGTGTGTACATATGTGTATAGGAATGTTCCTTGTATGGGTGTGTTCAGAAGTGTGAACTCTGTGACTGTGTATACATGTGACTCTGCACCTCCCACCTGCAACATTCGCACACCTCGCACCACTGTGGCTGAGGGCATCTGGTCATCTGCTCAGTGAGTATAGTGTGAATGTGTGTGTGTGCAAGTGAGTGTGCACAAGTGTTTACTGTGTGAACATATGTGCATGTGTGTGATACATGAACATGTGTTCGTGTGTGTGAGTACACACAGGGGTGAGGTGTGTGAACATGTGTAGATGTATAAGCATGTGGTATATGAACATATGTGCATGTGAATATACACGAAGTTGAGCTGTGTGAACATGTGTGTGGATGTGTGATATATGAACATGCATGCATGTGTGTGCACATGAGGGTGAGCTGTGTGAATATGTGTTGTGTGTGGATGTGTGTGATATATGGACATGTGTGCATGTGAATACATATGAGAGTGAGCTATGTGAACATGTTTGCATGCAAATGTGTGTTATATGAACATGTGTGGATGTGTGTTATATGAACATGCATGTGGGCGTACGATATATGAACATGCGCATGTGATATGAACGTGTGTGTGTGGATGTGTGGTATATGAACATGCGTGCATGTGAGTGCACACTAGGGTGAACTGTGTTAGCACACGTGTGCCCGTGTGTGCTTGTGGTGGTGGGCAAGCAGAGGGCCCAGTGCACTGACGAGAGAAGCCAGGGTTGACAACATCTCCTGTGTGTGAACCCATCCAGATCTAGAAGGAACAGTTGGCCCTGGTCTGCTCTGGTCAGCGTGTCAGACCCTGCTGGAATCATCTGGTTCCTGGGGCTGGCCCAGGGACTGTATGATCCTCAGAGTCCGGGTCTCACCTCCTACCAGCAGCACCCACACACCTGGCAGGTCCTGGCTGATATGGGGCCAGGAACCCCGAGCAGCCTGTACCACAGGTCCCCACAACTGCCTCTTCTCTTTTCACAGGGTGACGATGGAGAAGTTGGGCCCCGAGGGCTGCCTGGGGAACCCGTAAGTCTGCTGCCACATCACTGGGGAGCACAGTCTAGAACGGGCATGGAGCAGAGACTAAAACAGTGGAGCACCCCAACAGCCCCAGGGTCCCCCTGGAAAGAAGGAATGGGCACATGGGAAAGTGGGCGGGGTGGAGTGGGTGAGGAAGCCAGACCACATCATAGGGACTCGAGTTCCAGGCTGCATCACGGTGGCATGGGGGCCTCCAGTCTGCAGTCCGGGGGCTCAGTCAGCTGAGTTGTGAGGGTCTCACCTTCCAAGGCAAGAGCCCTCAGTAGCCTGCTCTGACCCGGGCATGGGACAGTCCCTCAAACCCACTTTGTCTCAGCACATGTCCTCAGTCACTTCTGAGCTGCTGCTTTTCAAGCACCCCTCCCTCCATGCCCTCCTTTGGTGGGTGGATTGATGAGCCACACACCCCCCCACAGTTATACATGTGAAAGAGGGTGAGGGGGATCCTTGCGGGCTCCTTAGCACTGAGCCCCACACTCACTATGCACTTAGCTGCTGAAGCAGCTTGCTCAACCAGCTCGCTCTGAACGCACGTCTAAGCTACACCTTCTGGGCCGTTAACTTATAAATCACACTTAAGAGACTCGCTATTAAAACCATGAAGGCAGCACTTAAATGGCCATGAATGTGGGCAGGATTTCTCATCCACAGAATCTCAAACTAGTTTATAAAATGCCGCGCACTTGGATCCTTGGGCCTTGGTCCTCAGCTCTGTAGCTCCGCAGTTGGCTGGTGCTGTCCTCTGTCCGGGAAGGGAGTGTCCCTGCTCGGTCATCTCTCTAGGAACCCTGACAGACTGTCCCTGCTGAGACCCCATTTCACCCTCCCTGTCCCCCTGCACCCTCCAACTGTGATATCACCCCTATTGCCCCTGGGTGGACCCCAGCCTGAGACCTGAAAGGGCCTCTCTCTCTTCTTGAAAGGAGCCCTAGTGGCACAGCGGGTTAAGTGTTAGGCTGCTAACTGAAGGTTGGCAGTTCAAATCCACCAGCCGCTCCTTGGGAGACAGATGTGCTTCTGTAACCATCACAGCCTTGGAAGACCTGTGGGGCAGTTCTGCTCTGTCCTGTAGGTGGCACTGTGAGTCGGAATTGACTCAGCAACAGTGGGCAGTGTTTTATTTTTGGTCTCTCCTTGAGGATGCCCCTTCAGCCTCTGTCTGGACTTCCCTGTTCCAAGCACTCCCTTCCCTCTAAGTCCCAGTGCAGAGGTGGGGGAGTGGGGAGTGCCAGAATACAGGCAGGGTAGAGAGGGAGAGGGAGGGACTGAGGGTCCAGGGTTTGTCCTGAGTGTGGGGGTTGGGATGAGCATCCTCTCTGACTCTTGCTCTGCCCTCTTGCAGGGTCCTCGAGGTCTGCTTGGGCCAAAGGGGCCTCCGGGCCCTCCTGGACCTCCGGTAAGTCCTGCTGCCGCTTTACTTGTCTTGGCCCCTGATCAGCCACTGAGCTAGTTAGTGGTCTACTCAGACCTCCTGGCCCCTCATCTGAGCTGACTGCTTGTGTACCTTAGCAGGCTTCTGAGCCCAGATCGAAAGCCCCAGACAGCCCTCTCCTGCCCGGAGAACAGTGCCATTCATGTTACAAGTACTAACTCCAATTCCGTTTCCTCCCATGTGAAAACACTCGCGTTGGCTGGGGGGTAGGGACTACCCCCTGACCCCTCAGTCTCCTTAGCAGCTAAGCTGAGGTCAGTCCTGGTGATCTGCTGAGAGGGGGCAGGTTTAGGATCCAGCCTCCCCCTTTCAGTAATGGTGCCCCACCATCGGATACACTTGGTGGGGGACAACTTCCTTCTCAGCTCCATGAGCTCCTCTGTATTCAGCCTCTTTCTTCCTAACCCCTCAGGGTGTGACGGGCATGGATGGACAGACTGGGCCGAAAGGAAACGTGGTGAGTCCCGGGGTCCCTGGGCAGGATCTCTTGACACGGGGGCACATTACTCTCAGAACGGTCAGCAAGATTTCCAGCGCCCCTAGAGTGCTACCATTGATGTGTGAGCTCCTTGTACCTAAAGCCAAGCAAGCCCCTGTGCCCACTCAGGCGAGCACACGGCTCCTGGACAGTGCCCAGTGCACATGGGGGGTCAGATGCCCCCACAGAGAAGGCTGTGGCCTCACTGTGCACCTTAAGGGCATTTGGAAGACTATTTAGGAGTCCCAGGGTGGGGGCACATGTGAGTGTCTGGGTTGCTCATGGAAATGTCAGTGGTTTGAAGCACCCAGAGGTGCTTCGGAAGACAGGTCTGGCTTTCTGCTCTGGAAAGGTTACAACATTGAAAACCCCCTCTGGCTACACGGGGTCTAGGACCACTGCTGTTTTAACTGGTGAGAGACTTGGGATGATCGGAGGATATTCTGCCAAATAAAATATTTTGGACATTTTTTTTGCACATTTGCATAAACAAACTCATGCTTTTTGGTGGTGATGATGTGCCACTGAGTCAGTTCTGACTCTCAGCAGTCCACTAGAGGGTTTCTGAGACTGTAAATCTTTATGGGAGCAAAGATGAGAAAGTACCATCTTTCTCCTGCAGAGTGGCTGGTGAATTTGAACTGCTGACCTTGCTGTTAACAGTCCAACATGTAACCCAGTTGTTGTTATGTGCTGTGGAGTCGGTTCCAACTCATAGAGACCCTGTACAGGGTTTCTGAGGCTGTAAATCTTTACAGGAGCAGAAAGCCTCATCTTTCTCCCGCAGAACAGCTGGTAGTTTCGAACTACTGACCTTGAGGTTATCAGCCCAATTCGTAACCACTACACTACCAGAGCTCCTTACCTGGTATAATATCAGTTCTAGACTGGCCTCTGGCCAGGTCTTGTCATGTGGGCCAATCTGGAGCTATTTGGTACAGTTAAGAACAGATTGGGAGGACAGGAGGACAGGTGGTCAGGATGGGGGTGGTGGAGTGACCCCAGGATCAGTGCCCCAGCCCCCTCCTCCAATACTCCCTGCGGTGTCTTTGCTTTTGTTTCCTGTAGGGTCCCCAGGGAGAACCCGGCCCCCCCGGCCAGCAGGGTAATCCAGGTGCCCAGGTAAGTGAGCTTTCATCAGGAGGCGGGAGGGAGGAGCAGGTGTCCTGCCCTGGGAACTAGCAGCCCCTGCACTCTGCCCTCTGCAGCCTGCCTGGCTACGGTGCCCTCAGCAGGACGTGACCAGGCTCGGCTGGCCTGGATGGGTGATGGAGGGGGGCATCTCTGTGTCCTCTGTGCCCTGACCTCTCCCTCTTGTTTTTCCTCTCACAGGGTCTCCCTGGACCTCAGGGTGCAATCGGGCCTCCAGGAGACAAGGTATGGGACCTGCGTGGGTGGAGAGCTGATGGGCACAACCAGGCCTGGTGGCCCCCCGAGGCTCAGCAGCTCAGGAAGCGAGCTGTGAGGAAGAATTTTGTCTTTCTCACATTTATGCCACCATCGGGCTGTTCACGCTCCCTCTAGATGTGTCTAAGGCTGCCAGAGGCAGCAAAAGGGAAACTGTGTTTAAATCTGAGCTGTTCATTATTTATTAGAAACTAATTTAGCAGCCTGGTTTGCATGTGTCTCTGAGTGTGTCTGTGTCTCTGTTACCTGTGTGTATCTGTTCTCTCTGTGTGTATCTGTGTGTGTCTGTGTGTGTGTGTGTCTGTGATATCTGTATGTGTGTATATCTGTGTGTTTGTGTGCATTTGTGTGTGTCTATGCATATCTGTGTGTGTGTCTCTCTGATTGTGTCTGTGCCTTTGAGTACATGTGTCTGTGTTTACCTCAGTGTGTCTGTATGTGTCTTGTGTGTCTTTGTCTGTCTCTGTACGTGTTTCTCTCAGTGTGTCCTCGATGTGTGTCTAAATCTCACAGTCCTAGACATGTCTTCAGCACCTAGGCTGTGCCCTGAGTCTGGGGAGTGAGCCTCAGAGCCGGGGCAGGTCTCTCTGATGCTGTGGTCTCTCCCTAGACACTAGCTATCTTAGTTAATTCCCAGTAGTTAGAATCCCTGGAGGGCTTGTCTAAACACACATAGATTCAGAGGCCCAGGTTCTGACTATGAAGGGGAAGGGTGGGGCCCAGGAACATACATTTCTAACAGGTTCCCTGGGACACCCCTGCTGGTCCTCAGGGACCACACTTTGAGAACTGCTGCCTCAGATGTGTACTTATGGAGTCTTGTGTCTGTTCTAGGGCCCCTTGGGTAAACCTGGACTCCCAGGGATGCCTGGCGCTGATGGACCCCCGGTGAGTACCCATGCCCACCTGGCTGGAGACTCAGGTACAAGGCCGCTCCCCTTCTTTGCTGCGGGTGAGGGGGTGGTGAGCCTCGCTTACTCTTCTCCAGCTCTGATGATGCGCCCCATCTGGTGGAGAGTTTGATCATTCAGGGGCTCGGGTTTGGGGTGCACTTTTCATCACCTGTTCAAACCAAAGGGTAGGCACGTCCCTCATCATTGGTGTGTGCAGTTTAACTCCCAGAGCTCTGGTGGGCTGGTCACTTGAACCATTGGGGCACTGGGGTCCCAGAGCGGGAATGTGCCACGGTGTTTGAAGGGTCAGGACAGGGTGTGGCGTGTGTATTTTTGGTATTCATGCACCAAGGTGGGGGTGATTAACACTTTTGCAATGTGTGAGCACGCAGCTGTGGGCCAGATTTGATACCTCCTCGAAATAGCCAGCTAGTGACAGAGCCAGTCTGTGATGAGGGAGCAGAGGGTGAGGAGTAAGGGATGGGTGTGTGCCACTCGGTGCCCACCTCCTCCTCCTCCTCCATTGGCTGCTGCTGGGCGTTTAGAGTATTCGGTAAATAAGATGAGCTAAATTAATTATTTTTGACATATCCTACTTTGGTGTTTTAATAATCCCATTTAAAAGGCTCCACGCAGAAGTTAACTACGTTAACAGTTAGCTGGTGACAGTTTGATGCACGACCATCTATTCCTGTCTCCAACAGCCCAGAGTCAGTTTGGTCTGAGACTCCCATGTCATATGACCATCTTCTTCCCTGACCCAAAAGATCATGGCCATGGCCTTGTCTGAATGGACCAACTTCTTTGGGGACCCCCACCCCCCACCCAGTCACCAGCCCTCTGGGCACTTAGTACTGAGCGATGATTGTTTTGAGATGGGTTGTTTGTAGCTTTTAATTTACATTTATGTGTAATTGTGTGTTCTAGTTACAAAAATAGCATGTTGTCATAGAAAATTAGGAAAATAAGATGGCAGCAACAGAGAAACCAGCTCGGTTGTGTTTCTGAGACTCAGTCACCAGAAGCAGGTGGAAGTGAATAACCTTCCAGCTGTGTCTTTTCCATCCTATCTTGTAGCATTTAATGGGAGTGGATCCTGCAGGGAGGAGACCCTGATGGGGGTGGGATGGGTCCTGAAATCTTCTTCCCCAATTTCAGACCTCCAATGAGTTGGGGTTTGGGATACACCAATAATCTCCTTTCCTATTCTGTGGGATATACCTTCAGGATACCCTTCTGCTCTCAGAACCAGCTGGCACCCCACACAGACTTTAAACCTCATTTTTCCCAGTGGATATTTAAACTTTAAAATAGGCAGGTTCTTTGGATGCCGCTGGAGGATGGCTATGCTGACCCACTGTTCTTGTTGTAAGGTGCTGTTAGGGTGGTTCTGACTCATAACTGTTGCAGGCACAGTGAACAAAACACTGCCTGGTCCTGTACTGTCCTCCCAATTGTTCCTGCTTGAGCTCACTGCTGAAACCTTTGTGCCAATCCAGCTCATTGGGAGGTCTTTCTCTTTTTCATTCACCCTCCACTTTACCAATCAGGAGGTCCTTTTCCATGGACTGGTCTCTTCTGTTAACATGCCCAAAGTATGAATGATGAAGTCTCACCGTCCTGGCTTTTAGGAGCTTCCAGCTATTCTTCTTCCAAGACAGATCTGTCTACTCTTCTGGGGTTCATGTATATATTCAATATTCTTCTCCATCATTTAAATGTGCTAATTCTTATTCATTGTCCAGCGTTCACATGCAAATGAGATGATTGAAAACACAGCACTTTAAAGAGGTCTTGTGCAGTGGGACTTCTTGACTGCCACTTGTCCTTGGTCACTAATTTGAATTGTCGTTGTTAAGTGCTGTTGGTGATTTCTGACCCATAAGGACCCTGTATAGGGTTTCCTAGAGCAGCTGGTGAGCTTGAACCACCAACCTTGCAGTTCAAACAGCTTTGCAGGCTGTTAACACATTAACACACAGCACCACATCAGGACTCCAATTTGCATTAAAGGTGCTTAAAAACAAAGCTGAAAAAAGACCAACACTCCATGTCTACAAAGAGAAGCAGATCCACTTTTCTTATGCAAAGTTGAAAGAAGAAGAAGAAGAAGAAAAGAGAAAACATTCTCATTGACAAAGGCAACCAAAAACAAAAATAAGGAAACAGTTGCTATTGAGTTGACTGTGATGACTGGGTTCACCACTGTTGTTTTTTGTTTGTTTGTTTGTTTAGCTTTTATTGTGAGGTTTACATGGAAGAACATCAGCTTTACACTAATCCTATTCTATTTCGTTACATTGCAATGATTACAATCCCCTTCATACATCATCAAATAACCAAAGGGTAAACCACACAGACCTGCTTCCAGGCAGTCAGCACACAGCTCCTCTCCCTCCCTGAGTCCAGTGTCCCCAGCTGCTCCATCTGTCCATGTCATCATCTCTGTCTCCATCCCTGGCATCACTGCCTCTCTGGGTAGGGTCACACTCTCCGCTCTTCTCACTTGATGGTCCCAGGGACATCTGCTCCTAGGCTGCAAAATTCATCACTCTCCTCCTTTTGTCAAAAACCATCTACCTCTATATTTCCTACCCTCACAGTCAGCCCTGATGGCAATTATTCACTATTGGACCTCAGAAGTCTTATCCCCATTTTTTTTCGCCAGCCCAGTCCCAACAGATTGGAAATCATTCAGTGGTGATTCTACCTTCCCCTGACCTGTCTGGAACTAGACTCCCTCTTGAAAGCTTGTAAGCCAGTCACTTCTTGCCTTTATGCTCCCCTCCCCCATTTTGAGTAGCCAATGTCTAAGGAGCTCTGGTAGCGTAGTGGTTATGAATCGAGCTGTGAACCTTAAGGTCAGCGGTTCGAAACTACCAGCCGCTCCGCGGGAGAAAGATGAGGCTTTCTACTCCCGTAAAGATTTACACCCTCGGAAACCCTGTACAGGGTCGCTATGGGTCGGAACCGACTCGATGGCACTTAACAACAACAACAACAACAATGTCTATGTTGCCCATCCCTGTCAACCCTGTGTACCACGGGTATGGGAGTTATCCTCGCTGTAAAGATTTGTTCCCTTTTTTGAGCTACTACATCCATAAGTATAGGTCAAGTTCATCAAATTGTAGCAGGTTACTCTTTTTTTCTTCCCTCTTCTTTCTTCTTCTAGTCAAGTTCTGATCATCCAGCTATTGAAGCCAGGTCAAGTGGGTACTATCTGCAAGTGTGGGTGTTCTTGTGCATCTCCCCTCACTTCATATCAGCTGGATGCTTCACTCTCCGCTCTAGTCCTCTGCGGCCATGTCACTGCCTCTGGTCCCAGGAGTCCTTGGGTCTTGACATACTGCTGGCCATCCAGGTCTCCACACGGGTTCACAGGGGTCTATTGGATGTGGTCGGGCTTAGCTCTCAACTTCATTGCTGTTTTTTCCCCCTCTTCCCCTTTTTGGTGACCAGTGTGGTTATCAGCCAGACCACATGCCTATTCATGTATTCCCCTTGAGTCTCAGTCCTGGAAGGGGGTTTGATGTGAGGGGTCCTGATCACTTGTCTTGATGGCTCCCAGGCAAACAGCTTACTTGTTCTTGTAGTAATCAATCAGACTGCCATTATTGTTTCGGATTTTTCCTGCCTGTCTTTCTTTCACGAAGTATCTTCTGTTCTTCTAGCCACACCAGGCTGGTCTACTTGTCCTCTCCAGTGGAAATTTCCTACCTCAGTCAGTTCTGGATGGGGTTCTGGATTCCACCTATGGTCTTGTGCAATGTAAAGGCTCAGCAGGAAGCCTCTTTCACTGGGCAACTGCTAGCCCCCTTTAAGGTATTCCAATCAGTTATAGGCAGAAGACGGACTTTTTTATAAGCTTTCTGTAGTGATGTTTCTGGCTATTCCTTTCTCCGCCCCCACCTCAAGTGTCTATTTTACAATGGTAGGCAAGGGAAACCAAGATTCAAAAGGTAACCAAGTATCTTAACATGATTCCCCTCTTTTACCCCTTCAAACCATGCCTCAATCCTTGTATCCGGGAGCCCTGTTGTTCCAAGGTTGTGCATACACCATAATTTACCTCTGTCCCACTTTGCCCATGTGAACCTGCCTAACTGTTCTCCCATCAGTCTTGTTCTTCCATTCCCCTCCCCCTTCTTGTGTATTGTCCCCCCTCCCCTGCCTCCAACTGACCCAAGGTATCCTGTGTTTATT